GATCACACTGTGGGTGTGGCTCTGATCACACTGCACCAATAAGAGGAGGGGGTGTGGCTCTGATCACACTGTGGGTGTGGCTCTGATCACACTGCGGGTGTGGCTCTGATCACACTGCACCAATAAGAGGTGGGGGTGTGGCTCTAATCACTGATTATTTCTGAAATGTGTGTTTTTTAGTAAAGCCTCAAAACCTGAAAAATCTCGTTTTTCTGCATTGTTTATGTGAACTACAGTAAAAGGTGGTAACAAGGGAATATCTCTGAGAAGCGTAACAGAAAGCTAAAGCTTCATGTAACAAATAAATAGACACCTGGTAATAATTATTACTACAGAAAATAAAAATATGAAAAATATGATAAATATTGATAAGAAGTAATTTACTTCTTATCAATAATACATTAAAAGAGTATCTGTTTTAAACTAACATTTTACAACATAACCATATACATAACTGCTCAGTAAATTCTTGGACTAAATCTCTAGATTTGTCACTTCTTTCTTTACAAGAACATTGCATCCAATATTAACACATGCTTTCATGTTCAAGTTAAACATCTGGGACTCCATATCCAAATAAAAATTTCTTTTTGGCCCACTGTCTATCACTACAGGCAAGCTGAAAGGCATTTCTTCAAAAGGGCTTGGCTTGGCTTAACTGTGTAATATCCAGCAATGATACAGTATGTAGTCTTTTCCTGTGTTTGACTTATCCGATGTGCAGTCTGGCTTTTAACTGTAGTGATTACACACAAATGTTAAATTGCATTAGCTCATAAATCTTGTTGACATGATTTAATCTGTGGTATTTATTATTGTTTACTTTGAAATTTTTTGAAAATCAAAATATAAATATTACATACTACACACAAAAAACAAAAGTTCAAGGGCAGTATCTTTTTGCAATCACATGAATTCTAATTATTATTGCTAAATTTCACATGATATTGGCATATTTATCCTTTATTGTATGGTAGGTAAAAAACAAAATTTCTCTATACTTTTTCCTCAAAGCTTACAATGTCTTATAATCAATTATTGCCTAAGGCAAAGATGTTCTTAGCAAATAGATTAAAATATTAAAGAGATACGAAATAGATTTTTAATCCACCATGTGACAAAGGAAGTTAATGACATAAAAGTGTTTGATTTTATTGTAAAAAAGGTCAGAAATGAAATTCAGGGTGAAAATAAATTGGTGTCAAGTATGGATTTGCAATTTAATTCATTGCCCCGCCAAGAGAGGCTGCAGTGCAAATGCACACAGACTTCGAGATGTGCAGTACTATCACGAGACAATGGAACTGGGACATGAAGGAGGACAAATTTGTGAAAGAGGTTTAGATCCCATCTCTTTAAAAGGTTTGCAAGTAGTTCTGAAATTCTTCGGTGAAACACGGAGAAGAAAAACCATGTTGGATGTGCCTTCAGATTGCATGAATTTTAAAACACAAGTCACCATACATGCAGAAAAACACGCAGTATGAGGCTCATCACCTAGCCTGCACATGCATGAAGCGTTCTTTACAATGCAGCGCTGGCGATGGAAGGACCGGTAGGAAAAACATTGTGTAAGGCTTTCAAAACGTCTCCAGGCTGGAAACCTTCCCTTTAGCGCTCATTTTTTGGCAAGTGAAGGTGAAGTGGAAGAGAAATTGAAGAGTATTATGATCCACGGTGAAAAGAAAATGTATTTTATTACCCTCCCATTAGTAATAGCTGGTTCCCACAGCGCTGCTTTGTGAAGGCGCTAGGAAGCA